TTATTTTGGGAAACTACCAAGTTCTCACCCGTTAAATGAAATTCTGCAGAGCCGTAAAGTCCCAATGCCCCCCTGCCATTCCCAACCGCAGATGACCAAATGCGAACTAGGGGCAGCTCGCCGTTGCGAAGAACCAGCAAAAACCGTCTCCACAGTCATAGGTCCTGGATTCTATGATGTACGTACATACATTATGTATACATGCCCACACATGTGAAGTATCTTCATGCCTAGGCTTGCTTGCGTGTATTTACTTCACATGCAAGGAGAGAATAGCTCATCCCAATCGGCGGGGTCTACTGTTTGGGGTACCAGGATAGTGGAGAATTAATTAGAGCACGGAATGAAAAATCAAACGGAAGCCACTATATGTAGGGATTACGTGGAGATTCTAAATGGTACCTGCGCACGTAAGTCCCCATACCACTTTAAAGGGCCTAAGGTTTCCATGTGATTTTGACTGTTTTTTTTCCGATATGGGTGGTTGTCAAAATTATGGTCCCTTTTTGGGTACCCTAAATATTAGGTGCCGTATTATAATAGGGACCCAAAAGGGGGCCATAATTTTGACAACCACCCATATCTTTTCCATCAAGTATATTCGGAAGTATTGGCTGTAGCTCACATGAGTCGCCTTTTTTTCATGGTTGAACCTAGTAAAGTTGTATTCCGTATATAGAATACTATACCCCGAAAGGAGGATATTATCTTACGCTATATTGGGTACCATGGTCTGCCCAAATAAAATACTACCCTAAATAATATAACCCCTCAATCACTTGAACCCCTCCAACCCTAAACCCTAAACCCTTAAACAACCCTAAACCCTAAACCCTATAAACCGCCGGCTAAACCAAGGCAAAGTCAGCTTCAACTAAACCTGGGGTGCATGTGAGCTATAGTCAATACTTCCCAATAATAAGGGTTTAGGGTTTGAGGGTTTAGGGGTTCAGGGTTTAGGGTTTAGGATATAGGGTTTAGGGTTTGAGGGCTTGAGGGTTTAGGGGCTTAGGGTTTAGGGTTTAGGGTTTGAGGGTTTAGGGTTTGAGGGCTTGAGGGTTTGAGGTCTAGGGTTTAAGGTTTAAGGGGTTGAGGGTTTAGGGTTGAGGGTTTAGGGGTTCAGCGGTTTCGACTTTGAGGATTTAGGATGTAGGGTTTACTGTGCATGTCTCGAGAGCCCTTGGCCACGCGCAAGAGAACTGACGCGCATGTGTCGACCTAAGCCCATCTGCTACCACTAAACCCGAAGCCCTACTATTCCTCAAATCCCGTAAACCTGCAACCACAAACCCTGCCCCTAGACCCCTGACTCAAACCCTCAGCCCCTAAAAACATAAACTCCTCAGCCACGGCTAGTCAGTCCTTGGCTCTAAACCCTAAACCCTAAGCCTCAGCCCTAAACCCTAAACCCCAAACCCTAAGCCCTAAACCCTTCATCGTGCTCCTCAACCCACGCATCCAGTGCACCCCAAACCTGCGAGGGTTGATTGTTTAAGGTTTAGGGTTTAGGGGTTTAGGGGTTCAGGGGTTTATAGGGTTTGGGGTTTATGGGTTTAAGGGTTTATGGGTTTAGGGGTTTATGGGTTTAGGGGTTCATGGGTTTGGGGCTTGGGTTTTGGTGTCCAGTCCTGTCATGTTTTCCCCACATCCACTGAAACCAAAGAATCAGCAGACACTATCAAAACTAAACCTGAATGCTGAGTGTGCAGGAATATTGGCCGAGAAAGTTGGACCTTGAACCCTACACGCTTGGAAAAGCCACCCATGAACCTTCGTGAAACCTCGTGTAGGAGGCCTATTCAATTAGACTAGAGTTGTGGTTGCGAGATGTACCATACTGTGTTATACCTATACGAGGATGAGAGGATCAATACAAGCATGAAGCTTTAGCACATGGGAAGCTGGAGCATGGACAAGTGCTAAACCTCCATGATGACCTCCTTTGCTCCTGAGGATTCGGCTTTCTACAAGTCAAGGGATGATGGCTACATTCAGTGCTTGGCTCCCAAAAAGAAACATCGAAGGTGTTGCGGCTTTATAGATTGGAGTTTCATGGTTTTGCGGTATAGAGTGTTATCAAATATCGGGGGGGGGGGGTGCCTTTGGAAATCTAAGAAAGCATACAAATGCAAGGAGGTGATAGAGGTCTTTCTTGAAGGGCTGCGTAGTGAGTATTTCGAGCAACTCGTTTCTCAGGAAGAGGGGGCCAGGGGGAGCCTGCCCTTGAGACCTAACTACATGAAGAGGAGATGACAGCACATTTGTTCCCTTGCCCCAGGGCACATCCTCGAGACCTTAATCAACAAAGTAATAGGGGAGAACAAACGGTGCCCTTGAAGAGAATCTATCGGGTCTATGAGGAGAATAAGCAGGCAGCAGGGTCCGACGTGAAGGGATGTTTCAGGATCCCCCTCTCAAGGTTGATTGTGCCCGTCATTGTTTGCTATTGGCAACGAGAAAAAACCATGTACTCTAAGGTCGAAAGCCCACTAGCCGCTCCTAGCTCTCATGACAGGAATACAAAGTATCCCAGCTTACATATGCCATCCTCCCGAAGGTGAAGAACCCGCATGCGATAGTTTCCGTAGATTAGGGGATCCCTCATATGCCCAAAGTAACGTCTTATAGCCCTCATGACAGGTACCCATGAAGGGCGTACTATTTTTTGGGGGAAGCCCCACTTCGGAGACCCCCTACAGGATCCAAAAAAT